CTGTACGTTAACCCAGGATCAGATCTGGACGTGGGGGCGAAGAGATGAATCTCAGACTGTACGTGAACCCAGGATCAGATCTGGACGTGGGGGCGAAGAGATGAATCTCAGACTGTACGTGAACCCAGGATCAGATCTGGACGTGGGGGTGAAGAGATGTATCTCAGACTGTACGTGAACCCAGGATCAGATCTGGACGTGGGGGCGAAGAGATGAATCTCAGACTGTACGTGAACCCAGGATCAGATCTGAACGTGGGGGCGAAGAGATGAATCTCAGACTGTACGTGAACCCAGGATCAGATCTGGACGTGCGGGCGAAGAAATGAATCTCAGACTCCACGTGAATTCGAAATACGAATGTGAGGAGAAGGCACAGGGGGAAAAATTACAGTTTGTCGTTGTGAAGTTTGGTCTATTACTGTAAATAATATTATTTTTCTCTTCTATTTTGTTATGAAAGTCATTTGATCGTGGTTTGTTTCCTTGTTCAGCAAGTGAAGTAAGTTCAGTCCTAGTGCTTTACGAATTTTCAGTCGTGACCACCAACTGCGCATCAGAGTAAGTATGACAGATATAAGGGGCCTGGTAACACGGCAGTTAAAGAATTCCTCTCGCTTGCATCTCCTGCAAGATTTGTCCATTTGCTCCTTCAATTCATACTCTCGATTAGTGGACTTAGGTCCTCTGCGCATTCAGATGACACCCTAGGGGTCGCAGCACTGCCCTCTGTACCAGCGGTACAGAGGGTGCATGCGGTAAATATTATCTTCAGCTACTGTCGATGGAAAGTAACAACAGCGTGATCATGACTGCATCACCGTGCAACACATCACTTTTACTCCGTGGCCTGTAGTCCGCAAGCGAACTATACCGACCGAGCGACAGCCGCTTGTCAGCGAAGTTAGTGCCAACTTTAGCGGATAGAGGGTGTCACATGGTTAGCGCAACGGATCCCCACGGCCGTTAATCTCGGGTTTCTAGACCGGATCCGCTATTTCCTTGAAATAACTCCTCAATTATCCTCACGAGGCTGAGTGGACCCCGTTCCAGACCCACTACTACTCAGAAAATCTGGTAGCGCCCAGAATCAAACACGGGACCTCTGGATCTGTAGCCAGGAACTCTGACTACTAGATCACAGAGACGGTCATTTCTTTTGTACAGAAAACCGAATGGTATATTTAAATGCTTATTGTATACATATCGCAATAGAAAATTAAAAGTTATTGTAAACAAAAATGTATGTAAATGATTTTTGAATGCTTACAATTATATAAACATAACGGTCTACTAATGTGACCATTGAGCCTGCACTGCGGGCGCCAAGCGTTTCAGGTGAGGTGTGATGCTTGTTGTGGTAAGTGGAAGGACTGACGTAAGACTATTGTCCTTGAGTCGATTCCGTTTAGATTTATTTAGCTTGTTCAGTGAGAAAGTGCAGATGCAAGTACAAGTGCAAGCTTGCACAAACAGTTGCCTTCTGCCGCAGATTCGGATATTTGTCTTCTGGAGGACAGTTGTAAAATTAAGAAAATCGCCTTCTTTCGATTTAGAACTAAGTCGGTTACTGCAGTATGGGTCGATTAGTTCAAGCTGCGAAAGAATACGCTGATTCTAGAGGTAAAACTTACATGTGACATCAGTATAACAAGATAATTAATTAGTTCCTTTGTAGTTTTTATGTTTTATTATTTATTTATTGTTGCGGGAGCTTACGCAACAGCTTCGTAGCAAATGCTGCAAATGTCCACCACCTTCTCGAAGACAAGCTTCAACCTGTTTTAGTGTGTTACGTGCGACAGTGCCAGTTGTTCGTGGGTCTTTGCTGGCAACAGTCTCTTCGATAGAGTTTCATTTCCTCCAAGCTTCGTGGGTTATTCGAAAATACTCTTTTCTTTGAGAAATTTCCACAGAAGTCGGACAGTGGTAGATCTGGAGATTAGGGTGGCCAGAGGTCACGCCCAACATGGAGTGTCCCAAGAACTCTTGCAATAAACACCGCTGTTGCTATGTTTGCACTGTGGGCAGTCGTCCCCATCATACCGCGGCGGCCCGGGTTCGATCCCGGGTCTGGTCAAGTGGGATTTGTGGTGGACAAAGTGGCGCTGGGGCAGGTTTTCTCTGAGTACTTCGGTTTCTCCTGCCAATCTTCATTCCACCAATTGTTCCACAATCACCCTCACCTATCATCTGGGGCTGGTACAATAGGCCAGAAGTGGCCGCAGTACAAGGGACTTAGTCCCACCCCACTAGCAATAAAGGAAAATATATAACTATCCACATTAATCGTGTCAAAAAAACACTTCCTGTGTTCCGAAATATCGTTATCGTTCAAATGTCTTGCTGCCTTATTCAGTGCTTTCTTATCAGGGCACGCACTGCTAAACGCTTCACGAAGAGCAGCGAACAATTTCGATGACAAGTAATGTTCGAAAATGAGCATAATTTCTGCTCGTGAATATACCGTGATTACAGCTGCCGAACTTCTGCCCAACTGGTGACAGCAGCATCACAGCAGCTAGAGCAACATTGACTTGAATATCACCAGGAAAGTTGGGAGAGTTGGGAAATTTTCAGATTCAGTGTTTGTACCATAGTATGTGATTATTGTTTGGGTTGTGTACAATATGTACAGGGGTTTTTTTAGTAACTTGACGAGTTAACGGCTCTGCGCTTCACTGCGAGAGGTGTGCTGCTTGCTGTGAGGCGCATTTGCCGATGAATCAGCATGCCTGATGGATGATAATGGTTGGAATGAAGTAGTTACAATTCACACATCACACGAGGTGTTGAAAATGTTGTCTGCTCTACGCGTAGATACTTTTCGCAACTAAAAACACAGTTATAACGCTCTTTCTTGCACTTACAGCACACCAAACACTAACTTTCATTGGATTGCTTCAGCAATTGTGTTGCCGTTCTTGCACTATACTTTGACACTCCAGCCTTTCGGGCTAGACGTTTCAGTGATTTTCTAGGTGTATGTTGAAGTCTGGCCCCTTTACTTCTCAGTAAACATTCAACCCTTATGTTTTTTCTTTCTTATCTATTGAGAGTCCCTTGTTCTAAGTCTATTCCGATTAACGAGGGTTTACTGTACATCAACACAACACTTATGCTGCTTATATAAATCTTTGATTAGACCAAGAGTCATTTTTAGATAATAGGAGTTCATCAACGGATAATAATGAGTGTGTATTTAAACATCTACTTAGTGCTATTTTAAATTATGTCTTTCATTAATAAGTCTTTTGAGACTAGATGGTAGATTGTTGAAAGTCTTGATGCCAGCATGGTACATACTTTTTGAAAACATTGTATGTTGTCAGTTGCTCTCTTGTGTTAACACTGTGGGAAGCTGAATTAGTCTGAAAATGTGCTTGTTTGTTTACACTGAATTTCAGTAATGAAAATGGCCTTTACATGGAAGAGGTAAGATCTCTTAGTGTCTTAAACAGGCCTCTACATGAATTCCTAGGTTTGACACCTGCCCTGATTCTAAGAATCTTCTCTTTTAATGTAGATATATTTTTGCTGTTGGCTGAATTTCCCCAGAAAATTATTCCATAATTCATTATAGAGTGAAAATATGCAAAATAAATTGGTTTGATAGTGTCAGTGTTGCTGATACTCACTGTAGACTAACCATATAACATGCTCCATTTAACTTAGGAACCAGTTGATCTGTATTATTTTTCCCATTTAAGGGGTTACAAATTTGTAAATGAAAGAATTTTGTGTTTACTGATTTTTCTATATATTTATCTTTACATTCAATATTTAATTGATACTGTCATGAATTATATTTTGTAAATTTTATTATATTTATTTTATCTAGATTCAGAACCAACTTGTTAGAAGTAAACCATTTACTCATACAGGAGAGAGCTCTGTACAATTTGAGGTTCTCACAGTGGTGGTTATGAAGAGTCTGCATGCTGGCATCCTGGCCAGCAGGCTTTCATTATTTGTTCCATCGGCTGTTCCACTTCTGTGGTTTGACACTGTAACTGCACAATGCAATCTTCAATCCAGTCCCATTTCTGACACCAGTTGTCACGTGGTTAGAGTATGACTACAGACGGTGTTTGGTTTGGTAATCAGATTTATTGAACATATACAACTCGTAACTACAAGTAAGGATTATGCTCTCATTGTTTTACACACTTCACAAATCACTATCAGCACACTAGGTCTTCTCAGTCTGTTTCAGCCTTCACTAGGCATTGCTTGGTAGCAGCTTTCAACATCAAACATTCCCCTTCCTCTGGCTCTCGAACTGTCCCTAGCCTCAACTACCAGCTTCTCACAGCCACAGCTCACAACAGCTGAACCCCAGCTGTTATCTAACTCACTCACCAACTGACTCCACTAACTTGTCCTGCTTATAACATCTTGGCACAGACTGTACAAAAAACACCGTTCCTCTGTAACAGAGCAATTGTTGCCACGGGAACATGCTTTTGTGCAGCCATTTCTTAGCAACGGCTGTAGTACAGGTGCTTATTTCGTGGTCATTGCCTAGCAGTGGGTCTGCATTCCACAGTAAGTTAGTGACCAGTGACAGTTTTAATCCATTGCAGACTTCTTCACTGCTGTTCAAGACCACAGGTAAAACTCTGCATGCATAGCCCATCAGTATCTGCGGTTCCATTTTCTGCTAGTCATTGACTTGATTGTAATTTTCAGTTGCAGTTGCAGTTCCCATGTCACACTGCCAATGTGAACAGGCTCTCCAACAACAGGATGAATATTAGTATATTTTCCTCTTCTTGTTTTGCAAGCATTCTGTCATCCTCCACTTATTCTCAGATTTCAGATGTTGTAACAGTCACACATTATCATGGCTTCCTCAGCAGAGCTTTGTTTATAATACTAAGGTGACCATATGAAGTAATGCTTAGAGAGACATTATATTGTGGATCCAGATTCTTACAACACAGTTGAATTGTGTATAGGAGAAACTGTACAGTTGAGATATATATTCTTTTTCCACAGACTGGAAACCCCAGACAATGTTCGACAGCAGCGGTCTTCTGACCCTGCACTATGGCAAGCATCATACAACACTAATCAATGAGATCCGTACTTGGTTTGATGGAGAGTGCTTTGCTGATGTTGCACTTGTATGCGAGGGAAAGGAGACGTTAAGGGCACATCGCCTTGTTTTAGCATCATCTAGTCCTCTAATCAAGCAGGTTCTCCAGGAGACTCCGTCTGCTGAGAGCCCAGTCACCATCCAGTTCCCTGGTGTGCGTGCTGCAGACATGAGGCTGCTGCTGGACTTCCTGTATACTGGCCAGGCTTATGTTCAGGTACTTAACAAGATCCTGAAAGCAATTGATGGTATTACTTTCATATGCAAAAAAGATTCGAAAGAGAATCAACACCATATATATGCTGGCCAGGTTCATGTTCAGGCATGTACAACGTTCTGAAAGGAATTGACAGTATATTATTTACTGGCCAGGCATATGTTCGAGCAAATGCATTCAGAAAGGAATTAACAGAATATGTACACTGGACAGGTTTATGTTCAGGCACAAGCAAGACTGTGAAAGGAATCTCACATACACATTATATATAATGTATTTCTTCATGCTGTATTGAATGTCACTGTTTACCCAAAATTATTTTGGCACTCATACTCTTATTGAAGTTAGTGATACTGAAGACTGAATTGTTTTACCAAGTTCATGTCATAAGTAACTGACTGAATGGAAATATAACCCAAAAATTCAACACTGCTTATACCAAAACCTGCCACTGGACACCATATGGAGACAGTTGCATCCAACTTCCATTCCACAGCCTTCCTACCAAGTAACGTTGGTGCTTTAACCTCAACACTAATACCAAAACCTGCCACTGGACACCATACTGAGACAGCTGCATCCACCTTCCATTCTACAACCTATTTATGTCCTTCTGGGTCTTCTATTTGTATGCTAAAATCTTTTATGCAATTCATGCCTACCTGATGCACGTGTCTGTGAATTTTAATTAATTTTATAATTGTTTTCCAGTCTTCTGATGTTGATAGTTTACGTGAACTCATCCAGCTTCTTCAGATAAAATCCGACTTTCTGGATGAAAAATATTCAGAACCACAAGCAGCCCATTCACAAGGAAAAGAATCTCCAAGGCAGTGTGAACCACAGCTGAGTGAAAGTTCCACGAACTCTGAATCTAGTGGCAAGGAAGGATCAGGGAAAGCCAGCAGAGACAGCAACAAACAGCAAAGCACAGATGAGATCTCAAATGAGTGTGGTGGTTCTGCAAATAAGTGTGACACTAAAAGTGAGACCCAAGAATTTCCACTGGCAAATGTGACAGTGAAAAAAGAAATTCAAGAGGAAGAAAGTGAGGCAGAAGATGACGGAAAAGATGCTGGGCGAATCAGTAATGTTCGGGACAGAAGCATACACCAGAAGTTGACACCAGTTAGGAGACGCAGCTCATTGAATCCAGTGAACCTGTCTATGTCGAATGCTGATGAGAGCAGTGACTCACCACAGTCCCCGGGTCATGTGAGGAGTGCTGATGTAGGCGAGCATAGGGAATTGAGTGCTGACACATCTGACAGAGATACTGTCACAAAGGTTTGTTGTAGTTAGGTTGCTTCTCCAAATTAGCCTGCAGCCCCACAGGCCCCATATGAAAACAACATACTCATAATTACAGTATTTTCTGGACCCTGAAATGTTTGCAGTATATCTCCATTCCAAATTTCACAAGCACAGTTGGAATGGTTCATTAGTTACTGCATCTACACTTAGATTTCTTACAGATGTCTTGTCTTTTTACATTCTGCAAAAATACTGCCTTAACAACACAAGTTACTTATTTTTCAGAGATGTACCACACAAAATTTATGGGACCATGACAATAGCACTGCTCACATTTCAGAAGTATGTACCTCTGTCAGATCACTGTTATTGACAGAAAAATTAAAGGAAAAAGTACAATGGCAAAGTGGAGACTTTAGTGGCATGATGTTCATAATGATTTTTGTTTAATTTCTTGAGATTGTCATTCACAGATATAATACTGTGAGGCTGTGTTTTCTTCTGAATTAGCAAAAGTAGCATAGAAATGAACCTATAACCATTTTGCAACAAATCCTTAAATTGTACATACTTTGCAACATATTTGGTAGCATTTCTATTCATATTTCATCTGCAGTTTTGTATAGGTGTGAAACTTTATCTCTGACATTAATGGAAGAACACAGGCTGAGGGTGTGTGAGAACAGGGTGCTGAGGAAAGAATATCTGGACCCAAGATGGATGAAATAATAGGAGGCTGGAGAAAACTGCATAATGAGGAGCTTTATAACTTGTACTTTTTGCCAGATATAATTAGAATGATGAAGTTAAGGATGATGAGATGTTCAGGGCATGCATCCTGCATTGGAGCAGTAGTGCATACATTAATATGGTAGGAAACCAGAAGGAAAAAGACCACTGCACTGACTTAGATGTAAATGGGAGTATAAAACCGTGGTCTTATCTGCAACTGAATTGAGAACAGAAGTGTTCTGAGATATCTGTGAGAGCAAATCTATCCTTTTGTGCTACAAATATGATTCACATCATCTTACTGCATTCTGCTTTATGTATATATATACGGGGGTACCTAAAGTTTATATTTAATCAAATAACTGATTATTTTTTAGTGTTTCTTCAAACTCTCACACTTACTTTTCTTGTTTTCATGGTTTGTCATATGTAGTGACTCTGATGGCACATTAACTGATATTTGCAATTATGCCATGAAGGAGAAATGTATACCTTTCCACAAATTGAGGATAGTGAACTTTAAATCTAAGTTCCTGTTATATTTTTAACAAAATGTCCAAGAAGCCTTAATTCCAAATTTTTCAGTAACTGTACTGGTGAAGGTGGTTTTATTAACTGTCAACATGGATGTTCTGACCTGATTATATTGCACTTCTTTCTGGGGTAAAAAATGATGCCCGTTCAATTAAACTTATTAATTTAAAAAAGTACAGGGAAAAATCACTGCAGCCATTGCAACTCTTACTCCAGACACACTGTGGAGCTCAGTGAACAGGGGGAGAATATCGTTCAGATGTTTGTCAAATGAGAACAGTATTTATATGAAAGCTTATAAAAATTATTATTAAACTTTGAGAGGCGTTTGGTGGGGGTGAAAGGAAGAGTGTTCTAAACCATTAAAATTGTGCTATTTTATTTCATTAATTCAGTAAAGGGAACATCTGTTACCTTCAACAGCTTCATTTTATATTAATTGTAAAGAACAGGACAAACATGAAGTCTAACAAAACTTTTACTAAAATGTTGAGTCAATAAAGTTGGCTTTACATGTTTGGCTCCTATAGAACAATCTTTATAGGCTTATGTCACTGATATCTCCACCAGCACATAACCAATACAAACAGTAGAAGAGATATGACAAACCTACCAACAAAGTACTGCTCAACACTTCATATGATGAACACATAGAAACAACATAACAACATTCCTGAAGATAAAGCAACTGAAACAGATACCAGAGTTTCTTCTTGTACTCAGAAGAAATATGCAATATGATATTAATACTTTAGACATAATTTTAAATGTACATCTAAGCAATTTTCTTTTATTACACAAACCTCAGAAATGGGCCTATAGGACCAAAACATGCAGAGGTAATTTTATTGACTCAATGTTTTAGTAAAAGTTTTGTTACACTTGATAGTTGTCTTGTTTTGTAATAAGTAACAATTGTTATTTACAGCCTTCCAGGCGTAAGAAGCCAACAGGTGTCCAAATTATCAGAGACTTTCCATTAGGCATTGAAAGCGATGAGAGACATCACCAACCCCATGATAAGACCCTGGCATCTCTTCTTCCACTAGATGTTGCCCACCTTCACCACCGAACCAAGAGAAAGCCACACTTCACCAGCTTCTATTCTGAACCAGAACCAGACTGTAAGCTGCCAGATGATGTAGGAAAACCTTCTGACACAATGCAGACATCACCTGATAACTATGTAGTCACTCCACATCGTAAACGCCGTCCAGGGTTCCACAATTCCCCTGCCCAGAACCCACCATTTGTACCTTTATGTCCATCCTACATTGATGACATCCCAGTACATCGTGGGCGTGGTCCTCACAGCCATCTGCCTCTTCCACTGGCTGCCTCATCAGCACCACAGTACCTAGATCGCCCCACTGCTTCACCGGGACCTGGAGATCTAACTTCCCCACCGCAACAACATGGCCCTGAAGAAGTCAAGTTCCGACCATCCAGTGGAGATGGCAGCTTGTCAGGCTCAGCTGAATTTGGAGCAAGAGAAATTGGAGCAGGATGGGGCCCTTGGTCAATCTGTCAAGCCCAGGTGAATCCAGGAGGTGGTGAATCACTTGGTGGGGAAGGTGGCTCAGCGACATCCTTAGCACCTGGGAAAGCCCCACCAGTTAGAGAATATCGTTGTGAGTACTGTGGTAAACAATTTGGTATGAGCTGGAACCTCAAGACACATCTGCGTGTGCATACTGGTGAAAAACCATTTGCATGTCGATTGTGTGTAGCCATGTTCAAGCAGAAAGCACATTTATTGAAACATCTGTGTTCAGTGCATCGAAATGTGATCAGTGAAGGGGGTGAAGGTCGATTTAACTGCTGCTTCTGTGAAGTTTCATTTGAAAGTTTGCAGGAGCTCATCAGACACTTGTCAGGTCCACACAACAATCTTCTGCTCAGCAAGAATCTCCAGTGATTTGTCACATTCAGCATACCTTGTCTGTGAAGATACAGAGTGGGCTTAAAGTCACAATTGGGAGCACATGCAAGGTGACCAAAATGTGGCATAACCATGAGAAAGATATAATATATTTTTAATTTATTTTATTTATCTTCATTGTCCTTAATGTTGCAGCATACACATTAACAAGAGATGTTGAAAGTCTGTTCCTTCTTTGCAGTTCAAATTCATTCTGGGATAGTTCTTGTTACTCATGCTCTTCTCCCACGAAAATGATCAGTGAGATATATTGTCAATTTATTCAGAGCCAAATATGGAAATACTCTTCTATGTAGTCTGGCAGTCCAAAAAAATCAGTACATAGAGTAACAGTCATGAATATGCAGTGTTCTCATGAAGTAACTCATATTGCTCTTGAAGAGTTTACACACTTGATATAATGCATGTACTATTTGAGGTTATCCATTTTCAATATTATATAAACACATATTTTTCTGTGAGAAAATTTTGTCAGTCATGTGGATAGTCCTATTATCTGGTTACATTGAATTTTAGTGTCACAGTAATAAGAATTTCTTTATTGCCCATCCGATAACTTAATAAGAGATAATGTCCATAGTATACATACTGTGTAACAACATGTTGCTCAAAAAGTACCCCAACAGAAAGATGTCCATATTCTGTGAGGCAATTTTGATCGCTCACTTGCCTCATACAATTCTTAACTTCTCAATGAGCAATGCTGAAGAGTAAACCATTTAATTAGACACACTTTTGCCATTATGTAAACACTATGAATGAAAACTGCACATTGAACTGCTTTGTAATGATTACAGTGGAATTCACTAAAGATACTTACATATGTGAATATAAAGTTTATTTCTTTCTCATTTCTGTATCACATAATTTAACCGCAATTGTGACTTTTGGCCCATCAAATATATAGCAGTAGTAAAGGGGAACTTTAGAGTGAACTTGGCAGTTCACACACACAAACTTGGGCATGCTTTGTGAAGAAGAGTCTCAAACCACGAAATTCTTTGTGTAGTTTTAAAATACCTTGTGTTTGTACAAAGTCACTGTACAGATATCACAGGTTGAGTTGGAATGGCTCATCAGTTATAATCATCACACCAGAGTATTCTGCAGGTTTGTTATATTGTTATTCGTCTTTTTCCTAAAAAATAAGTTATTAAAATTGCCATAATTTTAAAAAATCTGTTACCATAGAAAACACCAGGGTTCTAAATTGAATGGCACTAACATGTCTCCTGCCTAAAAACATTTGCATGGTCACCATGGTAGTATTCTTCATGAGAGTAATGGTACTGTTGTCTGTGCTGAACAATGGGCATAGCTGACTGCCAGACACAGCTTAGTAATAGGTTCTGAGGAAGCAACCCTGTTCTTTCAGAATGCAAAGAATACACTTTTGGACCTATTATTCCATGTTTAATGCATGAAGGAGATAGTTACATTGAGAAACCTGAAGGGGTTGGACCATTTTTGAGTCCAAGAAGGGAGGATAATATTGGAGTAGGTATTAGAGGAACAGGTTATGTGGGTGTGGATTGGATTCATTTGGATCACTACAGCATCCAGTGGTGAACTCTTGTGAACATGGCAATGGACTTTGGGATTCCCTAAAAGAATATCTCATAACAAGTTGAGTGACTATGCAGCATGCAGATATAGTTATGATTATGTGCTCACTTGACTGGAAAACAACCTGAAATATAAATTTAAAGCTTTTGACTATAGTGTAACATACTGTTTAAAGCTAATATGTTTAATTTCGTCCATTATCAGAGTTTATTAAAACTTTATATTAGGGAACTTCATTCTGTTTCTGTCTTCATATGACCAGGATATGAAATAAAACCTACTTTGTTGGGACCTTCAGTTTAACTGGCCTCAAACCATGGACTGTGGTAGGATGACAGGTGTACCAGTGGGCCCGGCAAAGCAGATTCTCTTCTAAGGGACACAATATAGTAGCATTTCTTTCATATCCTGTTATCTTGAAGGTGCAAATAGAACTAATTAACAAAAGATAATTGTTCTAGTGATCTCAGATGATGGACAATGTCCAAAATAATAGCTTAAACAGTCTGGAATCTGCAGCCTATTTGTGCTTCATTGTAGTATCTTCTGGAAGTTTCTGATAAATTATGTCAATTCTTATATTAGGCATGTGTTTATACTGGAAAAATGTCTTTATCTCATTAAAGATAATGTGAAACACACAATGTTTACATTTAACCCCAGGACTGCCAGCTGTACTTTGTGTAGCCCCAAATAAATTTTTTAGTGATGTGGTAAACACATATTTTTGTAAACACTCAAAATTTCCATACTTAAGTTCCATGTTCCTTGAACCATTTTAAAAATCTTGACTCTGATTTAAACACTACAGTAGATGGTAAGTCTAACTGTTATTTCTGGAAAGCTATTGAATGAAAACAAAAATCACATTTTGTTTTGTTTTCACCAAGCTGTGAAACATAAATTCATAAGTCAAGTTGGTTCTTGGTTCAAGTAGTAATATTTTTTACTTTTTATTTGTTTATTTACATGTAGTATATTTAATGACACTCAGTAACTCAGACTATAGGCCTCACCATAGCTCAAGCGGTTAGTCCCTGGCTTCCCACCGCGGTGGCCCGGGTTCGATCCCGGGTCTGGTCAAGTGGGATTTGTGGTGGACAAAGTGGCGCTGGGGCAGGTTTCCTCTGAGTACTTCGGTTTCCCCTGCCAATCTTCATTCCACCAACTGCTCCACAATCATCCTCACCGATCATCTGGGGCTGGTACAATAGGCCAGAAGTGGCCACAGTACAAGTGACTTAGTCCCACCACACTAGCAATAAAAAAAACTCAAACTATATAGTGTCAAATGAGTGAAAGACAGTGACTAATGAATTGGAGGATGTTGAAGGAAGCATCCATGCCCTAATTTTCAGTACTGTTTTGGTTGGCAGTTGCCTAAAGGTAATGAAAGCCATGAAATCTCCAGTCAGGAAGTGCCTTGGCAAAGATTTTAACTGGACACCTGAATACAGGTCAGAATTGTTACCTCATGAGCCAACTTACTCATTCAGTGGAAGTGACTGGTTTGAATCTAGGCCAGTATACTGCGTATCCTGAGATTTTAGTGGTTGTCCTTTGTCTCTCCATTCTCCAATTACTGCAATAGTACCACAGATTATATCAGGAACACTTCCTCCCTAATCCTGATCCATTCATTATTCACTGATTACACTGCCATTCATCAGTGCTACTGTCAATGTCATTAAAGAAACTACCAGAGAATTACAGAACACAGGAAATGACAATCATAATCTCTCCCATAATTAAATGAAATACTATATTCTTCATAATTATTGATGTTCCAGAGTACTGTTTATTTGTCAGCAGCACTGCCTGACTTCATCTTGAGAGGGTATACTCTTTTTGAACAAGAAATATTGCATCTAAAGTGTCTTATATTTACAAAGAGGGGATGGAAATGTTTTCTTACACCCTCATATAAATGTACACCATAAATGGCCCCAACAGGTGCTCCATGTTGATTTTCTTGTAGATCAGCAGTTTTTACTTTGGGAATGTAAAATGGCTTATATGATCTGATAGTGCAATGTCTGGCAGTCATAGGGTTAAGAGCTCCAAAATTATATCTAAAAAGTTTTATAAGGGGAAGGTTGTTGAATATATAGCTTAAAGGAAATGCTGTATATATGTCCCTAATGGAGATTATAGTGGATGTATGCCTGGTCACAGGAAGTCATGCTTTATGATTCATGTCACTGCATTACCAAATGTCTTTTAGAATTTTGTTCACTTTGCAGACACACTTAGCATGCCCTCTTCAGAGACACATAGGTATGAAAATTGCACAAATAGGAGTTCCAAGAAATTGAAAAAGATGATAGTCACTCATCTTGCTAACAGTTGTTGGACCTAGAATTTTATGCTGCGGGGCCGGGCCTGATGGATTTTGATTTAATCACATTGGCAATACAAAGTTTCATTAATGACCATTTGGTGGGCAGGTTTTCATTAAACTTTCCCTCTATAATGAAGTGTTTTAGACATTTCATTAGGTACAAATACAATGCACCTGTGATTATGGAATATATTCCCAAAAATATTACCCATTCAGATCACACTGTAAATTTATTATGTCATTTCTGCAGCTTGGCCTTTTCTGTGTAAAAGACAAGTTTTTCCATATATATTTTTTGATAAATATCCCATAAATTATAATTTTATTTGGATATGCACAGAAGAGGAAAAATTAAAACAAAACTTAATGATGGCACCATAAATGTGGTTTTCTATTTTTATGCATTATTCACAAAGATATCTGGTGGATACACTTGAGAGTAGCTGAATTGTATAATTATCGCCAGTGTCAAGACCATATTGTATCATAAAGAGAGTGAAAATAACTTCAAAGTGTCTTAGAAGGCCTTGGATGAATTGTTGTGCATAAAATAATCTTAACAATTTTCAGTGTCATAATATTCCACTGCTAAATGTATTGAATCTGACTGCTCTCCAATGTAACAGAAAATCTACTCCAACACATAAAGATCAAGCAGTTTGGAGTTCATGTTCAGTGACAGATGGCAGTTGAATGCTGATGTAGGAGTGGATAACGTTAAACAATATGATACCTGATGCAATAAGAAACTTGGTTGCATGTTTTAAAGCATGCCAGATCATTCTTGTTCATAATCATCGACAGACTGTGAAAACAGTGGCCTATAATGTACAATTATCATGAATATCCAACATGAAATGTTTCATTAATGTAAGAAATAACGAAGGAAGAAAGAAATGTGATAGCCCAGGATAACCTGGGTCATTGCCTTAAAAGTACAGATTTTGAATCACTTTTAGTTTATATACTGTAATACTTGGTAGAAAAAAAAATATATTACCATATTTATTTGCACAAGTTTTGTTTTTTCTTTTTCTGAAAAGATGTGAATAGCTTTAACTGTTGACTAATCCGATGTCTAATCTTGTCAAACATGAAACGTAACAAGACAAGAAGGACTAATATTTCATTATCTCCAGTAACACTGTGAAATGCTATAGGCAGTGTGTTTCCTAATTGCAGCTTCCTCATAATATACTCGTACACAAGAAACAGAGTGCTTAGTCTTGACTAAGAGAAGGATGAAAGATTATACCCCAGCATGGGCAGAGATTTTTCTCTCTGTCACTACCATTGCCCTGGGACCCATCCAGCCCTCTATCCAGTAGGTACAGGGGCTGTTTCCCTGGGGAGTAATGTGGATGGTGTATGAAACTCACCACTGAACTTCATTCACTGACTATGTCTGACATGTATACCTTCACAGCTCGACATGTAGGCAAAGGGACAACTTTACCTTAGCTTTAACATATTTTTCCTTAGAAATTTGCAGCCTCTTTATAGAATCATCTGAAGCCTTTTTTCTCATATTATATTTAACCACCATGTTGCACTTCTATATGTTTAATATAAATACTGTCGTAAATGCAACAATTTATTGTAGTTCTTTGTCTTTCTTTTTTTGCACTACATGTTTCAGCTGTAACTGGCCATCATCAGGTGTATTTCACTTACATAGCTGTCACACTGCATGTAATTTAAAATTTAAAAAAACACCAGCTTTCTCAATTGTCATTGCTGCATATCAATCGGTCCCGATATACCAGAATCCCCTTGGTGATTTTGTCAGTTATGTTTAAAATCTCTGTTACTATACACTCATCAATTTGATTTATATATTTTTTAATCTACAATTTAAATTTAAAATTTAAATCACAGGGATACCTGCCCTATGTCTACATGTGCTGCAGTGGCTACTTCTTGCTTTGAGCACCGTTCACATATTATTCTATGCAGGTTCCCTGTGTGCGTGCCGCTGTTTATCTTTAATATGTTTGCTCTCATATTTTGGTCATTTCTCTTCATGGAAATGTTCGCTAGTTTGATATCTCGGCCAGTATAGTAATTGCCTGTGGTTCCAGCAGAGGCAGTTGAGTTACTTTTTGCCACAATATGCAGACCAGCTCTGGGGCCCTCCAAGCTTCCAAACTAATGGCAGTAAAGTAGTTGGAACCTGAAGCTGATCAATCACCACAATCTAGTGAGTGGATTAAAATGTGTAGAGCTATACTTCCGCTCACACCGTACACATCCATGATGTGTCGCTTAGGCATAGGAACAAGTAACTTTCAGCATTTTGTTATGTGATATTGTCAACAAAAATGGGATGTCTAAAAGTTGCATGGTTCTTAGAGATTAATATTTTTAGGACTCTGAATTTAATAGCACCAGCATTTCCCCTCTCCCAAATTTTGCACTTTTGTTACGATGGGCTGACAGCAAGAATCAGAAGGTACAATGGTGTGGTGGCATCAGATGTTGGACATTCACACCATGCTTCATGAACCCAGTCAAATGGTCCAAAAGTTAATAGGCACAGATATGCAAATCAGAGCATGATGATCATGCATTGATGTTTCCTCCAGGGTGGGTTGCCTAGTGACAAGAGTTCCTCCAGTGTTCTCTGTTCTTCTATAAGCATTCTTTTTGCACATGTGTCTGCTTTTCTCCTACTCCCTTATTTTACACTGTTAACTTTCAATTATCTGGCATGTATGGAGAATGGAGTCTGCCAGTTATGTGAAAAAATCTCTCACAGAAACATAATATAAGATGAAAGCAACATGTTTGCACATTAGTTCTTGGGTGAGAATCTTCCTATGCAACACAGCGAATTGATGGGTGAAATATTTCTGATACAGATACTGTTAAAGAATCACAAATTCAATTAGCCCGTAGCGTAATGGAACCTGCGTGTGAGAGGATGATGAATAGCACTGCTTGTAGTGGCTGAGAGAACTGCCATGTGGCTTACAACCATTCTCGTATCATAGATCTTTTTTGACTAACTTCATGAAAATAGTAAATTTTTGCTGGTTGGATGAGAATTCCAAATACTTGGACACCAGATAACTGGACTTCACAATGTATTATCCCTCGCTTTGTTTCATTTGGTCTCTCCACTTTTCATTTATTCACCATTTTTATTTCTGATGCTGTAAAAAAGAATCCTGTTTTCATCCATATGTAACATGTCCATATGTCCAACTATGCAGTATGATGATTTTACTGTTATATCTTGCCTAATATGGTGGTTTCAGACTTCATCCCTACTTGTATGTTCTTTTATAATCCATACAAAGTTCATCTCTGCTGCATATAATCTGCTTACATCTCTCTTAATCAATGCCCAAGTTTCCACTCTGTCAAAACAGTTGAGTGAAAGATTTTATCCAGAGTAACTTTAACCTTTCTTGGATTTTCTGTAACAGTTCTATGAACTTTTCCTCTGCAATTTCAGCTCAGATCTTTGCATTGATTTGATTACTAGAAGGAGATTAACGCAAAATGAAGCTTAAAATATATGTAAATAAATATGGTATAAACTGTATGATTTAAATAATCCTTTGTTTGCAATAATACATACATAGTGTCTTACTCTTGTGCACCATATAGTATTTTGCAACAAATTTAGTGGGACAATAAATCTGCATCATATGCAA